GAATCATATAAATGTACGGCATGTAAGCTAATAGACGAAGTCAGTTCCAGCTTCTATGAAGTTGATGTCTGGATTCCTGACCCGCTCCAAGCTGCAACACTGCACTTCATCATACAGTGATGAAAAAATAGCACTGCCCTGCTGTGTCTCACCTTGTCCTTTAGGGAGCGAGTAGTACACTGTGGCAACTGCAAAAATAGCATTTTGGACATCTTCACTCAGCTTCTGACAATCCTGAAAACGTACAGGCAAAAGGATTAACCAGGAAAGTTGCATTGCTGCATTCCATTTAGAAAGCCTCACAAGCAACCACTTAAAAATCCAAATGACTTTGAAAAAAGATTAGACTTGCTCACTTGCTCGACTTGCCAACTTGCTCAAGAAACAAATACAGCACAGTAGTAAGTTACAGCATTCAGGTGTTTCTAAAGTTGCAAGTGCAGAATGGGGTAAGTCTCTGGAGTTCCAGACTCACTGCATGCATCATGCATTTCTGCATGATTTGGTAACAGAAAACACCCATTAGTCTGGTGGTTATGCATCAGAGAGGAAAGCTTAGATCATTATTCTGAATTTGTGGTCTTTTTTTCTTCTTTCAAACATAAGTGTGTGAAAGCTTCTTGTGCTTAACAGGAAAAATATTTCCATTTTTAGATAGGTCCAAGGCCCACATTACCCAATATACTGTCTCCACCAGCAAGCAACTGTACATGCTAAATAATGTTAAAGGGAACATAAGAATACTTATTTGATATACTCCCTTATTTAATACACAACTTCCAGAAACTAGTTCTTTAGGCAATTCCTGAACTAGATTAACATAGTCTACAACACACAGCTGACACATAAATGTCCCCTGCTTGCCTTAAATCCCAATCCTCTGCTTTGGTCTAGTGAGCCAAGAGATATCTGAAACTTAGCACACACACTGTAATGTATGGACTGTAAAACCCCCACTCTCTGGAGGTTTTCACTCACTTCTGCAGAAGGCAGTGGGGGTCTTGAGAATGCCAGGCTCAGCTTTGTTGCTTCTTGTGATGTTGCTTTGAATGTCTGACCTAGGAATGATCCAGTGGGAAAGACATTTGTCAGGATCTCAAAGGCAAAAATAAAACAAAAGCAAACTCACAAACAAACAAACTACAGAGCAGCTAGATGAGCAATGTCTTCTCTGATGCTGCTTTGCCCTAAGATCTATGTCTGATTACAGTCTCTCATTTCTAGATATGAGAGAATATAAGCTAAAACCTACAGAAAAAAAAAAAAAAAACCTCCCCACTGCAGTCATGTCGCAGTAAACTGTCTACTCATCTCTACTCGGCTGATTCTGAAATCCACAATCACATCTTGTCTCTTGGCCACCTGACACCTTTACCAGAACTTTGCCAGCTGGTTTTAACTGAGACTAAAGCCTTTAAATACGTAGGTCATGGCGGTTATCCCGTACTGCCCGCTGCTTTGTCAGCGATACTGCCGAGGATCTGGGGCCAGGCACAGGCACGCTGGCTGCAGACCTTCCTGGTGACCCCTCACGTCGCCCATAGCCAGGCCGTGTAATGACACCGGCATGCCCCCTCTGCCACCCCCGCGGAAGCTGTGTAACGAGCTTTTGCAGGAGGTTCTGCCCCGCTGCGCCGCCCGCCCCCCGACCCGCCCCCCGCTCCCTACCGAGCGCGTCCCAG